AATAACAGTTGATGAAATGATTTGATTGCACGGTAACCATATCGCTGACAAGCTGCAGTTTCGTTGAATCCGAGTCTATTGGGTGGCCATAATGCCTTGCTAAGGGCCAATCTTGGTCTGGGTGTAGTGGGACGATTAATTGGTGTTAATCGCGATAGTACACACTGCCGATATGATGAGGAGCCTACGGGTCACACACTTAGAAAATAATTTAAGAATCAATTTGTGAGAATGGTATTTTTTTTTTTTTTTTAGGATGAAAGGGTATTTTGGTAATCTCACAGTGCAATTAAATTTGCTAAGGTTGTTGCATGTATTTAATTTTAATATTAAAATTAAATTAGTGAGATTATATTTAAATATATCTTTGTATATATTTAAGTGAATTATTATTATTAATTAAATATTAATATATTATTATATATTAATTGATTTTAATTATAATAATAATAATTAATTAAAATACCATAAAGGGTGTGTTTGGTTGCAAGGGTAAACTAGGCTTGAAGTATTCTAATCCTTGAATGGATATACTTTATACAGATTTTGTTTTTAAACATGTAAACGGTATAATCTATACTCGGATGTTGGCAAAGAAAGGTAATTGATTTATCGATTGAATTTTTGTTTTTCCGCTGCGTATGGTACATTGATTACTAACATGCAGTGCATCAAACTCAGCTATCATGGCTTTGATCCAAAGAGGGTGCTAAAGCGCATCAGCAACAAAGGAAGGTTCTTAATGAATTTCAGGAAGAACATAATTGATGAGAGCTTTTGTTTTCTGTCTAGTTGTCATGGGATGGATATTTTGAGTAGAAGGGTTAGATGGTGGAAGAGAGGATGGAGGTGCTGTAGTATGATAACCCCAAAGATCAAACTCCAGTTGAAATGAGAGAGGTTGCGGGGAAGTGTTGATAGGTATTATGGAGGTAATAGGATTTAGAGCAGGAGACGTAGTGGAGGATAATGAAAATCGAGAGGAATCTGACATAGGCTGTTTTAGAGAAGAAATGTCAACTGGAATTTTCCAAGACTAAGAAAACTGCGGACAGTTTATGGTTTCAGTGGGCATAGGTGTAAAAGCGAAATCATGAGCAAAAGGGAAGACTTCCTCATTAAACTTTACACTCTGAACAGTGTAGACCTTGCCATGAGCATTAAGACCCAAATATCCCTTATGATGTGAGCTATACCCCAAAAGAACACATTGCTCAGAATGGAAGGCAAACTTATGTTTTGGTTGTGTCTGATTAAAGGAAAACATTGGCACCCAAAGATCCAAATAGCCTGGTAGTTCAGGCACTTGTGCAGAAGCCCTTGAAAAGGAGTTTGATTATGTAGAACCACTATAGGTAGCCTGTTAATTAGATACACAGCCATGTGAAATGCAAACCACTAATATTCAAGTGGCATGGAAGCTTGGGCCAACAATGTTAATCCCTTTTCAGTCACATGCCTATGTTTGCATTCTACTTTACCATTTTCTTTGTGTGTGTGAGGGCATGGATGCCTAAAATGTACCCCTTGTTGAGCAAAATATACGACTAAAGAATGAAACTCTCCACCCCAATCTGATTGCAATGTCTTTATCTTTTTGTCAAATTGCTGAGTAACTAGTTGTACGAATTGTTGTATTATATTGTTAACTTCAGATTTGAGCTTCATTGGATAGATCCACGAGTACCTAGTGTAGTCATCAACCAAGAGTAAGTAATATCTATAACTAGTAGCTGAACTAAAAGGGGTAGGTCCCCAAACATCTACAAAAACAAGCTCAAAGGGCGTATTTGTTTGAGAGTTGGAAGAAGGAAAATGACCTTGATGAAGCTTCCCATACTGACATGCTTCACAAAAACTAATTCTATTTAAGCTATGATCTTTAACATTCAAATTTGTAACAAGAGTTTTAAGTACAAAAGAATGAGGATGATCAAGTCTTCTATGCCACAACTCTCCCACTTTATCAATAGCTGAATGTAAAGATTCATTATTTGTTGTAGTAGTAACTGGACATGAAGTACTAGGATGAGATGAGTTATTCAAATTTGCAGTCGTAGATGTAGTAGACTTTGAACTGATGGAGGAGTCTGCTGAATAAAGGAACACTTGAGAGACTTGCAGTTGTGGAGATAATGTTGTAGAGGACTCAGCTTTTTTATTGTGGAAGTCAGTTAGAATGTCGAGCTGATAAGTCCATTATGTACATAGCCTTTAAATAGAATCACCTGTGATGTCTTGTCCTTAACAACACATTCATCCACAAAAAATTCAACAGCCACATTATTGTCACGTATAATCTTTGAAATACTTAGAAGATTTTTTGTTACTTTAGGTACACATAGAATATTTTTAAGTTGCAAAGACTTGTTTTTGCAAGAAGAAGGAAAAAGAGTCAAACCTGTGTGAGAAATGTCAAGACATTGACCATAGCCCACTTGAAGATACTCTGAACCATTGTATTGATTTTTGAAGGAAAGATTCTGTAAATTTGGGGTGATATGGTAAGTTGCTCTTGAATCAATATACCAAGTAGGATTTGCTATGGTGAATGGAGTGGCTGTTTGAGATGTTGATTTTTCAGCTGAGTGGCTTTTCATTTGTGTTTCTCCTGAAGGTTCATAAGGTGACTATGTTTGATCAGCATGAAAGGTTGAATAGGTGTACTAAGGCTGATTTGCTAGTGCTAAGTTTTGAAGCTGTACTGGATTGTGACTTATACGTGTGGAGATATAAGGAAACTGATTTGGAACATGGCTGGCATATGGATGTTGTGTGCTTACAAAATAGGCTTGAGCAGGAGGTGTCATTTGTGCAGATTGATGTGTCATATTGTAGTCCATTCCAAAGTGAGGTTTATGATTTTGATTCCCTTAAAAATTAGTGTCAAACCGATGGTAACATTGAAGGGCCATGTGACCAGTTTTCCAACACAATTGACAAAATAATCTTGGCTTATAAAAATTCCTGCCTCTGCCTTTGCCAAAACTTGGATTATAATTCCGGAAATTTTGACCAATTTGATAGGTGTTTTTGTGTTCATTTTGGTTTGGAGGTAGAGATTGAGTGAGATGTTGTGTTGGTTACTCTAAGCTATTTTGTAGTGGCATGTTTTGGGATGAAGAAAATGAATGTTTAGTTGCTAGGAATGCAGCAACTTCATGAAAGCCTATATAGGCTGTGTGTTGTTTTTCTAACCTTCATGTTTGTGCAGTAGGAATTGAGCTTCTTGTAGAGATACTTCACTACTCTTTGACATTAAAGTTGCTACCATGACATCATATTCAGGGCCAAGGCCATCAAGGATATATAATAGCAAGTCTTCATCATTTATGGTTACTCTAGTGGCAGTAAGAAAACCAGCGATCTCTTTCATCTTTAATACTTATTCGTTTATGCTAGAATTCTCTTTCTTAGTGGTTTGCAACCGGTTTCTTAAGTGCAACACTCTAGCTTTAGAATCAGTCAAGAAATGCATCTCTAGGGTATGCCATATATCATAGGCTGTCTCCAATTTGCTACATGCCTAAACATATAGTTTCGGATATGGATGAGATTAACCAGCTAAATAGAAATTGATCTATTTTCTTCCACATGATATGTTTAGAATTGATTACTTTCTTAGATTCATCGGTTGATGACGAAATAAAGGAAGAGGGACACGATTTCTCACCTGTGACAAAGCTTTCTAACTCATAAGCTTTCAGAACTGGGAAGACTTGAGACTTCCAATACGTGTAGTTCCTCTCTCATGGCTTCACAGTGATGGTGGGGAAGGTGTTGTTCAGAGCTTTGGATGAGAAAGAGTTTGTCATTTTCTCAATCAAAGCAAGACCGGAAGGTGAAGGCGTACTTGGATTTGCAACTGATGTGTGTCAAGGCAGCTCTGATACCATGCCAAATTTTCAACACAGTAGAGAGAGAAAGAGGTGAGAAAAGTGTGAGAAGAGGAAGAAGAAAACATATCACTATTATATTTTCATTTTCTCATACTGTAAACAGGAAATATTACAGAATTTATAATGTAGAATATTCTTCTCCACCGTTCGATCATTAACTAACTAAGTATATAAAGAGTTTTGGTTCGTTTGATCTACAACTTGCGTTTCCACTTGCATGCTAACTTGTGTCTGGTTTTGCAACTTGTAGTGCAAGTTGTTTTCCACTTGCATGCCGTTAGAAGATGATAAAGGAGTGAACAAAGTTGGCGTCAATTTGGCTTTGAGCTTGCACTGTATATAGTTTCTGCGGTTTGGATCTTTTTGCTAAAGTGAAGCTTGACCTTTTTTGGTTAACTCCTGGAATGTTTGTGAAATATGTGAGAGTGTGGTTATATGGTTATATGGTAACAATTTAACAAGTCCCATTCCAGATTGTATTGGGAATTGTTGCAATCTGCAAGTGCTTTATTTGAATGACAACAAAGTTGTGGGAATTTTGCGGCGGGAATGAATTAAAATACTATTTTAAGTTTGGAATGAATTAAATAATTATGAAACTCTTTACTAAATGACTATAACTTAAACGCTATAAGTTTATCGTTTAAGTGATGTAAACTTATCTATAAGCTTATCTCTTAAACGATATGTTTAAATCGCTTAAGTGATACTGCAGTTGAAACTTCGTGACTATTTAATTCATTCCAAACATGAGATGGTGTTTTAATGATGTGCTTCGAATTTGGCAGAGAGTCTAAACAGTCTTGAAAACCTTGTTTATTTGGATGTTAGCAATAAAAGCCTTGAGAGTAGAATCACTCTAGGTTCTAGCAAATGCAAGATAACAAGAATAAAACACCTCAATTTTGATATTTGAAATCAATCAAATCTTCCCAATTGATATGTCTAAGGGAAATTTAAACAAATCAAAGAATAAACTACAAAAATTTATTTATTCTACAAAATATGTACCGACTGATATACTGTTTCGTCCAAAATTATTACTGGAACTTCTAAACTGACATAATTCTTGGCTTAGTTAATTAATAATGAACATAATAATTAAACTATATGTTGTTGCTGCACAACCAAGACTGAACATTTCCCAGTTAAATCTTTTGAAGCAAGCAAGTCTCCCATAATTCCAATCTCTGGAAACTCACTCCATTCTTTGAGTCCTGAAGTTTGTGGATCTTCTATGTTGTATCTTCTCCCAACAATGATTAGATCAAATTCGTCAACCATTGAATGAACAATGTTTACTGTTTCAGGCCCGTCGTTTACGACGTGCTTAATGTAGTTGATACGATCATTACTCTTAACATTCTGCAGAACCTCAGAATCAAGAATTATTTCCCAGTCTACTTCGCCGTCATCACTCTTGGCAATAAATTGTGCTACTGTAAGCCTAACTTTGGTGTTCCTAGCCATTCTTTTAGCTAGTGTCAACGCCTCACGGTCATCGTTGCCGCCAAAGAACAGCATAGCAACCTCAGAGTATGATTCTGCTGGAGCAGCCGAAAAGATGGGTCGTCTTATGTTGCCATGATCGATGAGGATTCCTACGGAACAAGGAGCTTTTTCTAGGACTCTTTGATTTAGATTCCTGACGGTGGTGTCTTCGGATTGGACTGAGCCATCAATATACCATGTTCTGTGAAATGGAAGGATGATAAGAGAGGCAAGCTTGTCAAGTGCAAGAGTACAAATATCATCATGCATGAACTCTGGTGGTGAGATAGCTGTGAAGGCATTCAATGTTACAGCTCCCCAATGATTTCCCTCAAATTTCTTGAAGGAAAGGATGACATTTTCGGAGTACCAGTAACCAGTGAGGCTTTTACTTCTCTTTTGATGGGAAAGGAAAATTGGGCCATCAAATCCACTAAGCTTGACAAGGTGAAGCACACTAACAGCTAAAGGGGTTTCTTTTGTGGGATATGAGATGTTCAACATGTTGATGACTGATGTGACATTGTTTGGAACATGAATGCAAGTAATAATTTGTAGTTCTGCATCAAGCTTGGCATCCATAATTTTCCTTATTTGATAGCCGGCATATTTCCGTGAAGGATCATACAATTTTCTCACCAAAACAGGCACAATGCTTCCGCTGATTGTGACAAAAATGAGTCCTGCATGGAATACTTCTGGAGACAAAACCTGCATTTGATAATAAGAATAAGCAGAATTGTTACTACCTTGATTTGATTGAATAAAAAATTAAGTTTTAGATTAGCTTTCAAGGTTGATTAAATACCTTTCCATCACTCATTAATGTATAGGCAGCTAACTCAATAATTCCTTTGGCGCTCAATATGAGAGCAAGAGCAAACGCATCAGGTTTATGCATTTTCTTATACAACAATGGCCCCAAACATGACAGAAATTTCATTAATAAAGTCACGGTAGAAATAATTGCATGCTCTTTTACCATTTCGTTACTGAAATCTAGACTTAACTTCCGTAATCTCATGGCACATGTTGTGACAAATACTGGAACAAAAAAACCTGAACCCATAGTGTCAAATTTCTCCACCAGAGCAGATCCTAATGGGGGTCCATGAGGGACAGCCAGACCAAGAGCATAAATCACCAACAGGGGTTTATTCTTATTAAAAACTTCAGGAATAAGCCTCATACTGCACAGTAACACTATAATTATTGCATAAATGCAAGTTTGGTTTACCTGTCGCCCTTTAGGAGTTAATTTCACAACCAAAAGCATTGCTGGTCGGAGCACAACCATAACGATAATAATGAAGAAAAATATAGGTACTAGTTTAGGAGAAAGGGATGTAGGAATTCCTTGAATTGTTCCTAAAGTAGCAGAAGCACTAATTACACAAATAAAACTAAGAAAGTCAGCAATAATAGCGGTTGAGTGTGCTAGTCTACCAAGTTCTGAGTTAAGGATTTTCAGTTCTGTTAGAAGGCAATGAATGACTGGAAAAGATGTGATATAAAACAATGGTGAAATATACAAGATTCTGGTGAATTCTTTCTGGTTGTTGCTCATCATTACTGTGCTTGACATGGCGTATATCATCGGTGGGAAGATCGATATTAAAGCCAGATAACAAGCCTTTGATCCCACCCTGGTTACCATGCTTATGTCCATTTTCACTCCACTCAGAAACACAAAAAATGTATAGCCAAACTCCCCTAAGGTGCCAAGCAATTGTACAGTTTCTTGAGACATCAGAATATCTGACCATTGTTTTGGAAGTACTGCTTCAGATAATAATACACCAGCCTTGTTTAGAACAAATTAAAGGAGAAATGCAAATTAGTAGCTCAAACAAAGAATAATAAATGGAAAATTTTATTGAAATTCCTGAGATTTTAACATACAATGATCTGGGAGGTCATGACTGGTAGGCCTAAATGTTTGAGCATAGAATGAAAGCCTTGAGTGAGGACAATGATCAAAACTATGATCAACTGAATTCTTGGAGACGCATAATCAAGCCACCTATAATTTGTATCATCAAATTCCCTCAACAAACCAGCAGAGCTGATCCTTGGAGGAAGTATAACACAACTCTCAATTGGGTATCTTTGTTGGCTTGTAACATTTTTCATATTCGAGTATCGAAAACAAAAGAAGAAAGAATATAATCTAGAACAGAAGAGAAGAGAGAAAGTCTCCGCAATGAAGAAGTTGTTTGCATTGGAATTGAATGAATGAATGAAGAATGTGGATTGAAAGAGTAGATAAAAAGGAAGGGCTCAAAAGCTGGAAACAGTTTCGGGTTTTGTTTATTTTAAACATCTAGTTATTCCCAGCTGTGAAATCCGGTTTTTCACAACACCAACCATAATCAATTGACCAAACTGTATGAAGTTGGTGCCTGCACAAACAAGATCTACTGTTAATTTGTTATACTAACTTCACATTGGAACTCAGGTGTCAACTTCTGCTATTTCATCTAACCATATTTTTTCACGACTCTTTTAAGCTTGACTTTTCTGTTACAAAATTAATGATTCTCATCTTATTATTGCCAACTTCTGCAACAAATTTTTTGGCATCTTAGTTGTTTATTGGCTTGCTTAATATAACTTATATTGGATGGAATTTCGGGCAATGTTGAATTATGTTTGATAGACGTAAAAATGGTATGAAATTTGTTTGCATACGTTTAATATTACATGCCATATTTCATTTTTATCAGTCATTATTTACTATGTAATAAATTTCTGTTCCATGTTAGTCTTTACATTGTATGTTACAAGTTTTATATAAATGTTAATGTTCTTCGTATCTGAGTCCGAGGAACTATTAGTATCATAGAAAATTTGGTTTTATCGTTATGTAATGGAAAACTCTAATTAATTTGTTTATTTTCGATGTAATGTTATTGTTCTTCCTACGTACCCAAAGAACTAGTTCGAATTCATATACAATATTAAATTAAATTGAATGTATATACATAAATTTGAAAGAAATTGGAGGCTTGGTACATTGAGTATTGGTTAATAATTTTTTTAATAACGTCCATGATTAGTTATGGATTGAATTCCTAACATCCCAGGTGGAGGATAGAGAGGGTTAGCCCGGGCTTGCTTTGAGAAATTTTTTTATATATTATTAAGAAAAATAAACTTATACATTTAAGAAAAAAATAACTGTAATGTTAAAATCACAAAAATGTAATTAATCATTCTAATTGAATTTTACATTCTTAGCTATCATCTATGTCAAAAAATTTTAAGTATTAGGAAGTTCTATTTGATACTTTATGTATTTAAATGCAATTTAAATCTTTTTATATATTTTAAAATTTTAATATATTTGCCTAGAAAGGCATCTCTCTCAATTTTTATTTGAGGTATCCGTTAGGATTTTTTTTTTTTTTTTTTTTTTTTTTTTTTTTTTTAGTTTTGTCATTTCAATTCATTTCTTTGTGTATTTAGATATATATGGTAAATACAATATCATTTTTCTATTTTCAAAATACTATATTTTGCATTTTCGTTTTCAAACTCTAAGAATAAATGTTTATTGTGCGGCAAGGGTCTCTAGCTCGGAACTAGTTAGGAAGCTCGAAGTACGCCCCCATTCGAGGCAGATATTGAGCCCGGTGATGACGCAAACCGAGGAAGTGCAAGCGAACATATATGAACATGACATTTGACGAGACAGAAAAAGGGCTTGCCATGTGAATCATCCTTTTATTTTGCTAAATCACTTTGCCACATATGAGTTGCCTACTCCGATCAATAGCATGCGGCCAAGCAAACTCGACGTGCCTTTCATGTAGCTAAGCTAACGGAAGGCCTATAAAGGCACTTGCAGTCAGGAGGGACACCATCATTCTCTACAGTGCAGGGGCATGTGAGCCTCTGGCTACCGTTTAACATACAACGATCTGGCTGATGCACCTATCATCATGACATTCCCAAGGCTTCTTATAAATGAAGAAAACAGCAAAATTGAGAGGGGGTTTGAAAAATAAGAGAGGGAGTGAGGAGGATTGAGGGGATTGGAAGAGAAAATCTGTCGAATCTAGTAGGAAGAAAATCAACTTTTGTAACTCAATTCACACTCACGCCTTTTGAGAAGACCACTTGACGATAGTCCTTTAGGCCGACGTCCATCGTCCCAACTCAAGGAATAGAAAACAAGTGGTTGTCAACCAACCCTATAAGCAAAACAAGGCTGATGACCTACTTAGGACTTCAGAGGCACGAGTACCCCCTCGCGACTCAAAACCGGGAGAGCATGAACCACAAATAAACACACGACAGCCCACCACAAATTGAAACTAGGCATTTTTATTTATACAAAAATCTGATTACAAGGGGGGAAACAGCTACAAAATAAAGAAAAATAAAGAGAAAGGAAGCTTGGCTAAGGTTAGGGGGAAGGAGTAGAAAGGTCCTCGGGAATGAAGGCAACCTTGGTAGCCCCACCCCCCGACAAGGGCAGCTCCACCAGTAGCATCGGCCTTGAACTTCTCTAACTCCTCTTGGTAGTGACTAGGGAGGAAAGAGAAGTTGGCATTGGGATTTTGTTCCCAGAAGTACGTCAGAAAGAATACCGACGCCAAGCAATATTTGTTGATGCTCAGTTTAAGCACCAACGAATTTTCACGTGTGTAACGTTGATTGGCCCGTTAATACCCGTGAAAATGGAATATGCCAAGCGGAATAAATGTAAAAGGAGTTTTTTAAGTGGTTCGGATGCTGAGGTAGCAAGTACTACGTCCACTGATTTGTATTGATATTAGTGTGGGTCAGGTCGCGGTTGCGAGCTGACTTACATAAGATGAAAAAGTCAAAGATGATTACAGGAGAGAGATTTCCTTTTTTTTCTATGAAAAACGGCCGAATCCCCTTAATGAAGGGGTCTTCTTCATTTTATATCAAACTGAAGCGTATAATCATCACTAAATCCATGGTTTGGTGTGATTGTCAGAATGTAATCTGGCTTTACGTCCCATTTTCCTTTTCCCAAGCTGACATCGCACGACTTGTTGCAGAAAAAAGGAACGCGTGTGGGCTCCATATCACTTGGCAGGTCTGACGTGGGCGTGCTGCTCTGACGGGAGCAGGTCACCCTTCACGTGACTTTCCCACGTCAGCCTCTCATTTTCCCGGGCATAACAATATTCTACCCCATACGTCTTTCTTCTTGAATGGTCATTGTCAATCTAGCAACCTCACCCTCCAACTCGGTGACTTTAGCCCTGTTGGCCCACCTCTCCTCTTGTAAGGTAGCAGTCATTTTAGCGACCTTGCTTTCCAACGCGGAGACTCTGGCCCGAGACGCTTTCAAATCGGACTTAAGGGTCTGAATCTTCTTTCGAGTGTTGGTAGATTGGAACTGAAGCCCGCTCTTGTTCGACTCAAGTTGTTCCTTGAGATATGTAAACTCTGCTTCCTTCGTCGTCGTAGCCTCAATTCTCGTAATCACCAATTGACAATCACTATAGCGTTCAACTCATCATGATCATTAACTGACGAGAAGGGGCCTTCCATGTCGCCCAATCTTGCTCTCTTTTGGGGGTTGACGCAAAGGTCGTTTCCCCAGTAGATTCCTCTCCCCTCTTTAAAACTACCTAATACATTTACAATTCTTAAAACACTTGTAAACACGAGTGGACAAGGAATTACAAGTCTTAAAACACTTGTTAATTTAGTTGAATCGAAGACTTTCACTTTAAGTCCTAAAACACTTAGATTATAGAGTGTGGAAACCAATAGAGGAAATTCAATCCTAGCAAGTTCCAAGAAGGGAAAGAGTCCAAACATTTCGGCCCAAACCATTCCAAGCCTAGGCTTAACAAAGAAAGTTCAAGCCCACCAAGAAAGAAGCCCAAGTTTTGAAAAGGTCCAATCTAGCCCAAGTCTCATTCCAAAGGGGAAGATCCATATGAACCCTTATTGAATCCATTTGCATGATTCTCAAGGCGCAAATTCTTACACCCTTATTAGTATACTTAATTAGGATCATTGATCAAATTTTGATATAATGAAGTAAGTTTATTTCAACTAATGGGGTACCTAGTTAGTAAATACGGGTACGGCAAAAAAAGGGTACGGAAATTTTACAGGTAAAATACGACAAATAGTAAAAAATACGTTTATAAAAATTCGATCATAAAATTCGGATACGGAAAAAATATGATACGGATATATACGGGTTTAATACGATATATTGTCAATAATACGTTTTAAAAAATACGGCAATATCAATTCTAATTTTCACACTTTTATGGACTAATTATTAATGTATCTTTGCATTATTGGCTTCAATTAAATCTTTTGCTTTTGCGTATGGTAACGTTAATCTTTTATTTGCCTTAACAAATTCCCAAGCCCATGTCTTGTTCTAATCTACCAGTAGAAAAGATGTTTATTTATTTTTTTGTTTGTGGAATAGAACGTAATCTGTAGTGTTGAGTGTTGACACGTACATTGAAATCCACCACAAACACAAAACACCCATGACCCATCTTAAAAACCCCCCTCCCTCTCTCTTCTTCAATCAAATCATCTCTCAGTGTCTCACCCACAAGGCCAACTGCTTCTTTCAGAGCTCCAACAATGACATCTGCTTTACAGGCTATTTTTTCTGCCAATACTTTCCCTTCCTCAAACTTTTTCTTCTCCCCCAAACACAAACACAAACCCGTTAAAAATCTCAACCAGTTCGCCTTCCTCAAATTTATTCTTTTCCCCCAAACACAAACACAAACCCGTTAAAAATCTCAACCAGTTTGCCGTCCGAGCTGAGGAAGGGAAAGTATTGACAGAAAAGCTAAAAACGTCAAAGAACTAAGGAAGAAAAGCTGAAAATGTCATCCGTCGAAGAACTGAGGAAGAAGAAGAACTAGAGAAGAGAAGAGATACTGTGTAATTTTGAATTAAACCCACTAAAACGACGTCGTTTTGGGTGAGCAATGGGTTTTTTTTTTTTTTTTTTTTTTTTCAATAATACGCGAATAATTATCGAATTATACGGGTATTCATATTATACGCGTATAATTCGACAGTTTTTATAACATATATTAAAACGCGTTTTATACGCGAATTATACGGTTGGGCATATAATTCGCATATAAAACGCGTATTTA